TGGCGAACTTTTTGTATAGCCATGTGCAACGCCTCTGCCGCCTTCCTGGGGTCGGGTCGGTCCCCTTCCTTCATGATATGTCTATAGAACTCGTCCGTCACCACAGGCGCGAGCTTGTCTTGGATAGACCACATCGTCGCCACCACACTCCGATATCCAGCCAATAGCATCCCACCTGCGATATGAACCGCTTCCTCCGACAGATTTTCGTCTCCTGCCGTTGTTTGACAAGCGGATAAGAACGCAAACTCGGCTCGAGGAAGTTCGAGTTTGATGATTTCCTCGAGCGTAAGGTGGCCGTCTTGGAGAAGAAGCGCACTCTTTGTCGGTTCATCTGGCTGTTGGATTCCATGACATGCCAAATGAAGCCAGTTGCACTCTTCCATCCCCTTCATCACTCGCCTCTTTGTACCTGCCTCGCCTTCGAGCATGATATGGTCGCGACCGGCGAGGCGTTGTCGGATAAAGTCCAATTCACGTTTGGTATTGGGAATAGAAGATGCTCCAGGTGCTGAGGATTGGATGACGGATAAGAGACTGAAGGACGAGAGGATGGGTGGTTTAGATTGCTCGAGTAGCGTAGATAGTGTAGGTGTATATGATGATATAACGTAGTTACTGAGCTGTGAATCTCCCGATTCCGGACCATATATTCCAGCTGCATGGATTGGGAGGAAGGCGAGTGGTCCGGTGGCGCACCACCATATCCGTGGAAGCACGTCTGGATCAGGCTGCGAACGTTATCAATAGAATGAAATGCATATAAACGGATAATCAATACCGAGAATGCCAATGCGTCTAAAACAGGCTTCACTAAATTCCTCCAAAGTTCCGCAAGCACTGTCCTACAGTTATCCTCGTCATTTTCATCTGTGAATGGCATTGCCGCCCGCTTGTCCCGCATTCGAATCCCACCAGAGTACAGGTGATCCTTCAGCTCATCGCGAAGCTCGGTGACTCTTATGGAAGTGATATTGGGGAGAGGAATATGGGTGACATCCTCAAGTTCGGGTAAGAGAGCGAGGGCATCGCATCGTGTCTTGGATATATTGAAAATGACGACCGGACCGTTCCGAGCTGCATTCATGAGTTGGGACAAACGTGGTGGACGCAAAAAGTTGTCGAAATTGGGAAGTGACCGAACTTGTTTGATGATGGATTCCCATTCTGCCGTCAACGCTCGATATTTTCGCCCTTCCTCCTCCATATCCAAGTGCTCTCTATCAGAGAATCCGGATTGGTGAGATTGACGATCTAGTTGCTGAGAGACTTGCAATAGTTGGTCAGCAAGTTCACAGTCCACTTCGCGTAACCGATCGACCGGAGTTCTGAGCTGAAGAATTTGTGTCCAAACGATTGACCGGCCCTGCTCTAGCCATTCCAACGCCCTATCATACTGCTCGGCTGAGATGGCAGCCGCTGCAGCGTCTCGCACGATTCCACCTATCTTGACAAGGTGCTGGTGTCGATCTGCGATAGGGAGACCTAGCCAAGCGACAAGTGGCATAAGCTCAAGCGCACATTCGTACGCAGTCAGCAGCGAGTCGTGGTTGATGCGTGATGCAAGCTTGATCCATAATTCTACAGCTCTGAAGCGTGTAGCTGGAGGTCCATTTGGTGACATTGCGGCGGAAGAGTGATGAGAAATAGCCACCTCAGCATCATGAAGGAAGGGGACCGACCCGACCCCAGGAAGGCGGCAGAGGCGTTGCACATGGCTATACAAAAAGTTCGCCA